GTTAGGATAAGTTAGGTTAGGTTTGTTCAAATTTGCTGGCAAAATCACGTGTTTCAAATTCTTTATACAAATACCAATTGATAATTCAAATTCAAATGCTTTATTCATAAATGTTTGTATGTTTATTGTTGGGTTAGTTTATACAAATTTACTGTAAATTAGTTATAACAGAATTATCTCAATTTATTTATCTTTTTTTCATTTTTACATTTCGGAATTAAAATATTTTACGTTATTTCTGGTTTATTTGGTCAAGCTACTCTCACTATCTCTGCAATTCTGTAGCAAATGTAAACTGAAAAAATGAAAACATAAATTAAAATTAACATTGGCAATGGCCCGCCCTGAAGCCAAGTCACAAAACTTCCAAATTGCTTATTTGCTCAACCTCAGCTGATTCCTTCACAAATCACATTTCATAATTTTCTGACATATATGTGTTTCATAAGTGTTAATCTCACTAATTTATTCTTTATATATTTGTAATACTATACGGAAATACGAATTCTTGTATGAATATACATATAAGAGTGAATTAGGAATGTATTGTTTGTAACAGGGTAACGACGGGGCGGGTCGAGGGCGGGAAGGTCAGTGCCTCCCTGGCCGTCGTAGGGGGAGGTGCTCTGTCCTGCTCTCGTAGTATTTATTGACTGTGCTTTAATTACTAGCCGATTAATAGATTACGAAGACGTTGCCGGAGTGTGGCGGAGCGAGCATCTACAACAGGTAAGCTAATAATGGCACTAGTAGTTTAATTGTTTGAGGTTAATGTGAGGCGAGACCCAGGCCGCCGTGACCAGTGGTGGCGGGAGCCGTCCCGGGGGCCGTGACCTCTCATTAATGTCCCCAGCATTAACCTTCGGCTTTATTTATCATCTGTAAATGTTTTTGTCATTAATGAGAACAGACATTTCTCGTAAGATATTTTTGTTTTAGTTTGTTAAGATTGGTAGAGCGAGAAGGAAGAGTTAGGCGTGCCAGCAGCCGCCTATGGTGAGTACACATTATCTTTTAGTAGGCCTATGATGCTATTTTGGAGATGTGATTGTGTGTTTGTAACACATTGTAGGTTGTGCAGCGAGGGACACCATTCTTGGCTTGTTCGTATTTTTCCACTGTCCATCGAAACAATTCCTGGCTTCGAAAACCTAAATAAATTTGGTTAAAATATAACAGGGATGATTACAGGGAATAAGTAAAGTAAGACTTGAGTGACCAGGTGAGGCGTGATGAGTGTGTACGGAATATGAGTGTGTATACAGAGGATTGAGATCCATATATGTAATCGCATTTAGTCTCCGTGGTGTAGTGGTAAGACACTCGCCTGGCGTTCCGCGAGCGCTTTGTCATGGGTTCGTATCCTGGCCGGGGAGGATTTACTGGGCGCAAATCCTTAACTGTAGCCTCTGTTTAACTCAACAGTAAAATGTGTACTTGGTTGTAACAATGATTCTTCGCGGCGGGGATCGTATTCCAGGGACCTGCCCGAAACGCTACGCGTACTAGTGGCTGTACAAGAATGTAACAACTCTTGTACAAGAATGTAACTCTTTTGTAACATTTTTTTTTTTAGCTGGAGTGGTGAGTGACTGACACCCGCACGTGATACAAGAGCCATTGACCGCAGGTTCAACTAGATCATAGACTTGACATATTAACTGTTGATAGCTCGTATAAGTTTAACTCGTTATTTAAGTAGTTCACCCTACATAGTGGTGAGTGTGGCGTAGTGAATGATGTACGTGTTATAGGATCATTTTTATTACGAAGATGTGTACAGTAATGGATGACTATAGTGACTACTTGAGGGCCACTAACCCGTATCACCTCGGTAAGACAGGAAGCCAGCGGCTTAGTAGGCTTAGAGCCTTCAGTACATATAGTTCATCTTGATTCTAACCCCTACTAGTTTTTTTTTTTTTAGAGAACTCTACCCAAGAATCTGTTTTCGACAGTCCTTCAATTTCTCCTGGGTAAACGGGCGAATAGTTAAGAATCAATGCCCAGTCAATCCTCCCTGTCCAGGTTTCGTACCCAGCAAAAATCATTCTCAATGTCAGGGGTGAGCGTGCACCACTGCGCTAGTGTCTTGTAAGCTCCGTTGCGTCTTGCATGTAAATTCTGACCCTCTACTACTCTATAAGACTTCTTGTAGCCTATCCAACAAAGGTATACCAATAGCAAGTGCGCTGCACAGTACATGCTCATCTCGTCTGGAAGGGAAGGGAATTATGAGGGGGAAGCGCCAAGCCACTACGACTATATAGCACTTGGAAGGGATCAGGATAAGGATTTGGCATGGGACGGAGGGAAGGAATGGTACCCAAACACATGGACGGTCGGGGATTGAACGCCGACCGTCCAACTGGCCCATCACAATCGACTTGATAGTGGTCGAGGACGGACCGAAATGTCGTCGTCTCTTCATCTTCTGGTGTGTGGTTTGGTCATCAAATTATCGTTGTATATCTGCACTGCCAGTAGGCCGAAAATGTCAATATTTCTAATGAATTAGAAATTCATTAGAATTTCACTCCCCCCCCCCCCCCCCACACACACACACACACACATGTAGGTATAGGGAGCAGGAGGCCACATACAAGGTATCATTTGGGAGATGAAATTCTTCTAGAATCAAAGACCTGTGGGTTGATATCACACCAAACCTATTACCCGAAGCCCACATAAAGAGGATAACCTCAGCGGCATATGCCAGGTTGGCCAACATAAGAACGGCCTTTAGAAACTTGTTTAAGGAATCATTCGGAACCTTGTATACCCCCGTATGTCAAGACCAATCCTGGAGTATGCAGCTCCAGCATGGAGTCCGTATCTTGTCAAGCATAAAACTAAATTGGAGAAGGTTCTCCAATTTAGTTTTTTAGTTAGAAGGTTCTTGGAGAAGGGGACTAAGGCGGAATTTGAGTGCCCAAATGAGCCATAAAGGTATTAGAAAGATTTTTGTTAGTGTCAGAGTAGTTAATAAACGGAATGCATAAGGAAGGGAGGTGGTGGAGGCAGACTCCATACAGAGTTTTAAGTGTGGATATGATAGAGCCCAATAGGTTCAGGAACCTGTACACCTGTTGATTGATGGTTGAGAGGCAGGACTAAAGAGTCTTAAGCTCAACACCCTGCAAGCACAGCAAGGCAAGTACAGTAACCACAACATTACATCAAAGTAGCAGTATTAAAAATAAGGTGGTTACGTATGTTTGCTGGTATATATTGCATACTCTAAGAGGAGGCAGAGGCAGGGGTGGACGGAGAAAGGGAATGAGATGGAGGAAAATAAAGGGAGAGAGGGAGACAGACCAGGGCACTGCCAGGTACCTCATCTACTTGATTTGAATAACGAACTGGTTTTCAATAATAAATTTTTAATTACAGCTTGGCAAAATTCACAAATTTTGTTTTCACTTCAAACCCAATTTTGTGTTTTTCACTTCGACTAGACCAACTTACAGAATCGTTCTAAAATATTTATTTTTTTATACACAAACAGAATGGTATGATGGGGGGAAAAAAGTTAGCCCATCATCTGAAACTAGGCAGTTTAAATCTTTGATGAGGAGACATTATCTAATGAGTGTTTCTTTACTTAAATCATATACAGTATATCCACTGGTGTGTCCTATTTTCTGTTGCTGACCTCAAAGGATCATTTGACAATGTAAGTAATCACCTGTTAACAGCCATATATGAAGAAACGCAGATCAGTATTAGAAAGAAGACTATATTAAAGACCATTCTCAATCTTGCATAAGCAGGACACGAGAGAAATGGGTCTAAATCTGATTGTTTTGCCTGTTAAATTTAGAAAGGGAATGATCATAAGAAATGTTAAAGTTTTAGAAGTGGGTTGCCTTGTACTGCTGTTAAAAGCATTTAATGTCAGGCTATGTGATGGCCTACCATCATCTCTTAGTGCTGTTGATTTATCCTTCTTGGTACCTTGTAACAGTTTCCAGTGTGTAAAAGTCAGAGGGGCAATAACACTAATCCTGGTGAAGAGGATATCGCCTAAGACAAACTACTGCATTGTGAACCTGGTATTCCACTACTTTAATTATATAATGCAAGTTATGTCACTTTGCTACTTCCTTGTCTCCTGGTATAAGTCTCTTGTACATCTGTACCACCAGAACCTAACCATCTTGATACAATTGGCAAGTGAAATGGGACAAGAGTATGTGTAAAACCATGAAGAAAATGGTGCTCCAATAGATTTAATAATATTCTAGAGCATCTATCACCTGATACCGATGGTTTTGCACATAAGTATACATACCTGTTTCAAAACCTTGCTGCCCATGGTAATAAAAGGAACATCAATAAAATGGTAAAAGTGCAAAATTTGCAACAAAATGGCTTATGGCTCTGAAAAATTAAGAGCTATGAGGGAATGGGAGCTATGAGGAGGAAGCAGCAAGCCATTACAGCTATATAGCACTTGGAATGGATCAGGATAGGAATTTGGGATGGGGCGGGTGTAGGAATGGTGCCCATCCACTTGGTCAGTTGGGGATTGAATGCTGACATGCATGAAGCAAGACCATTGCTCTACCATCCTGCCTAAGTGTTGGGCAGAACTAAAGGTGTTAAATATACCAAAGCTAAAAGAAAAAAAAAAGAAAAAGTTCTTTTGCAGGGCAGTACAGAGGTTGAACAGTTAAGTGGAGTGGTAGTGGATGCCAAAACCATCAGTACAGTAATTTCAGAGCATCATATAATAGAATAATGGGAAGATGGGACCCACAACCATAGCTTTCCCCCTGTAACTACACTTGGGTAATTATTCAACCAGTCCTCTTAAAAATAACGTCGCTTTTCGCTCGTATGCGCTTTATGGCCAAAAAATTAATGTACTGTAATTTGAAATGAAATCGGCTCACAAAAGTGATGTACTGTCCTGATTTCTATTTGAATCGTCTGGCTTACTCGATAAGGTTAGGAGAGGGAACTTTCAATTAACGTTTTTCATGGCGCTTTGAAACAAGACATTTCTGCCCTCCTAACCTACCAGAGGACCCTTAACTTATTGTTTTGGATTTTTTTTTTTTTGTCTTCAAATTACAGTACAGCCAAATTCAGAAAATTTTTGAGAGGACATATTTAATTATTAGAACATAACATCCTAAGCTGTATGAAAATATGGAAATTTTGAGATTACATGAAATGACCAATCATTTCACAGTACTGGTATTATAAAATATCTAAATCTTACTATAGTCATATTTTACTTCTAGTAGGTAAAAGAAATCTGTGGTAAGCTGTGTTCTTTAAAATCTTAAACATTAACACCTCTATTACTCTACAATATATTGAAAATTATGGCAAGTAAAGAATTGATAAAGAATTCATTTGCCTCTAGTGCATATTATTGTCATACATAAAAAATAGCAGTGTTTTGTTACCAGCTATCATCTTAATAAATCAAAGATTTGCATATACTGTATATTGTAAAAGCTAATGTCAAACATCAAAATGAGACTGATAAAGACTCTCCTCTGTAATCCTTTTGTGCTATTGCAGTGATAAAATGGAATCGCTTTATACAGCATGTCGATCCGATTCACCTAAAAGGCATAATGTCACAGGTAAAACGATCTAAAAGGAGCATAAAATTAATAAGAATATCAAGGTATGAAGAGGTGAAGAAAAGACATTAGGCCTATACCATTTATTTAGAAATATCAGCAGCAGTTGGATTGATGTTCATCATAAATACATGTCAAATGACCACTTTATTCCCTCAAACTAAAATACCATGACCAAATTTCTAGCACAAGCATGAGGGATATATATTCCTTCGCATAACTGCAGCAGTTGTTGGACCACACACTCCTGGTGTAAGGGAGGAGCAGAACTCCCATGGACACAACACTTTTGGACCTGTTCACACATCACAAGTTCTCCGAGTGAAGATAAATATACGTAAATAAAATACTTCCAAATATTCCCATCCACCTCAAAATATGATAAATGATAAAAAAAAAGAGGGTACATGCAGTGCACAACCCCCAGGGATATTATTCATAGGTTACCATTGATGTTGGAAAGAACACGAGGGGCCTGCAATTGTGCCGACTCTCCCTGCCACACACTTAACCTTAGGTTGACGAACAAGACCAGTTAATTGGTTCACCCATACTTCACTAAGGCAGCGTATTGTTTCAGCTTACTGGACACCTCTACTTCCAGATGAAGGGAAGCAAGAAATACAGTACATGAATATACTGTACATAACAAAAAAGATAGGTTAGATCAACACTAACCAAGGTCTTTCTAACTTTACACCATAAGTCGGAAGAGTTGCTTCATAAACTACTCTCGTTAAATATTAATTGTATGTAAGTAATTATCAAGATGGTATGGTACCAAGCCTGGAAGACTATTTAGCACCGTTTGTGGTGCAGAACAGTATAAATAGAAAAGTATATAGAATTACTATTACAGTATACTGTATAATAGTCCTAATTATCATTCGAGGTGCTAATACAAGTATAAAAGGACATATGAGCGATATCAAAAGTATTGCTCACGAAAGATTTTATTAAAGGACAAGCAACTGTGTCATTGAGAAAGCAAGATTTGTGATCCTAAAAATCATGACTAAGTAGGATAATGCAATTCAAACAATGGAACATAGATCTGCATTTTATCAAGTGCCAATGAGTTAAGTGTGTGTGGCTAATGCGTTACCTTGTCAGAGCCATTTCCTAATTATAGTACAGTAGTAGGAAGAAGGCATAGGAGAAGGCTACATTCAATACCATGTAACTTTGTTATTCGTAACACTCAAACTATCACCCCAAAGGTCGTAGTGTGAATAAATAGTAGAAACTGAGTAAGGAAGATGCTTTTAGAAGAGGGATATACACAAACTGCTGCCTCCTTAAGTGCTAATCATTAAAATCAGCACGTGACAGGGGACCCAGCAAAATTCAACTGTCCTATAACTACTGAGGATAAGGCAAAGCCAGTACTGGATTTAAATTACCATGGGATGGGAATGGTCAAGACTCCATGGCACCCCCCCCCCTCTCCCTCAAAAAAAAAAAAAAAAAAAAAAAAAATAATTTTTGGGTTTCACTAAAATATAAATTAGCTTTTTAATGTTTAATAAACATAGTCTTACACAAGTGTAGCCAACTGTGATACCAGATCAATGCAAGTTGCATGACATGCCATCCAAGATTGTCCTGTGGGATACACTGGGAGGATGTTGTGATCAGGGTACATAACTGTTAGTGACTGGTTCCTCTTGCTTCCTGATAATGGACCAGATGAAAGCATTCATACACAGCAGATGGAAGTCTATGCAGCTGCCTTATACAGCCCAATAATGGTCCTTTACCCACTTTTACTAGTGTCTTACAATAAATGGGCTTGAAAGTATAGGGATAGTATGATTCTCATCTTTTAAATAAATAAAAGGCTTATAATCCCTAGACCCTGGTTCATTTGAAACATTTATCTTCACATAATAAACTGACACCATACTATGACAACTTCTATCAGATCATGTGAAGATTACTGCAATATTCTACTGTCTAGCTGAGTTGGGTGATAATTTGCAGACAAATTCAAGGGTAAAAATCAAGGTAGGATCCGCTATCACACTCGTGCATTACACACTGGTCTTCAATGGCCAAAGTTCAAATTGTAGTAGTTACACTATGTAAAAAGTAGTTTTATAAGCATGGTCTAATTAGGACAAAGCTTAATATTGCATGAAGTCATGAATTGTCATTCAAAACTTAAGTACTGTACTAGATACCTGCCATTAAAGACCAGCAAAATGTTTGCATTTCTAGTATCTTCAATATACTGTACATATTGTACCTATTGTTTGCTTTGGTTTTTTTAAGTTTAAAGAGAATAGATGTCACATTAGATACAAAAGGCCCACCCTACTTATTACTGTTTGAATAACAAAAATACTTTCACACACACACTTTGTTCATGGATGATTTGATGAAAACCAGAAACAAATAGCTGAACTAACTATTGACAAAGAGCAAATAATAAAAACAAAACTAAATTAAGTAAACCAGTATTTTTGGTTTAGGTTTTATTTATAAAAAATTTAAAGTCACTTAACCATAGTAAGTTGTTGTATTGGGATTAACTGGAGCCAAGTCTAACAAACACGTCATACATGTCATCTCCATTGAGCATACAGGTATTTCAGTTACCTTCATTGAAAAATCTAAATACAAAATCATTTATGCAACTTCATTACTGACTTAAATTTTAGGGCAGAGGAGCTTTGTCTGGCTTCTGGAATGTTTATACCACTAATGTGTTTAAAATACAAATTTAGAAATTCCAACAACAACAAAAAAAAAAAAAGCCTCATTGCCTTCTGCACTGAAATGTGAATTTCAGCTAACTAAGCAAAGTATATACACCTATAGCTTGTGATTCATTTACTGTTATTTTTAAAAGTCATCTCGATAGTCTTCACCTTTAGGGGAAGAATACATAGTATTAAACTATTCATCCAGATCACTATATGTATAAAAAAAATTCCTTGATTTTGAAAGTAAAGTTTAACTAAATTTATTATAAATTTATTAATTTAGGACATGTTGAACAGTGAACAATAAAAGTAATGACCCAATTATGCAGTCAGCAAGCATTATGGTTATTATAAATAATAACTGGCATATAAAATTCATGAGACAAATGCGCTAACATTGTAGTCAAGCTTACCCTTGATTCAGGAATATTCCTTGCTTTATTGAGGCCTACACATCAGTAGCTGCTGTCACATAATATTCTGATAGTAAATAAAACTGGGATTTATAGGCAACTACCATAATACTTGCCTTGAACGCCTAATGCCGCTTTATCAAGATTGAAACTGGCAAATTCAGTATTTTTTTTTTTAATACAAAGAAAATTAGAAAAATACTCCAGGTCCACTAAGGGAATTCCATGCAACTAAACTTAAACCATACACACCAGGTATAGAACTATCACACAAAAGCCAAGTCAAACGTTATCAGAAAACATTGCCATTTTATTAACACCAACACTTTTGATCACCCTAACATCCCTAGTATTTCTCAAGAAATAACTATATATATGTATATTTTTGCAGAAATCAGATATTTTGAAGGGTCATAATTAAGCTAGCTGAAACAGTATAAGAGGTCCTTGGTCTAACATCAATAGAGAATGAATGGAAATGTAATCCAAAATCCTTTGATTCTCTATGCCACACAAAGGTATTAGCCAATATGAGCTAAACATTCTAAACAAGCTAACCAAGAAGCTGGGCCCCAGTACCACAGTAACAGCTGGAAACATGCAGGTTACAATACTGGAGGTACCACTCGTCCCAGATTATAATCCATAGCCGAGACTTTGGTAACCTAATATTTATAGAAGACTAGTTAATAAATGTTAAACTTAAAAAAGCATTTCATAATCCTATAATAAAGCTATATAATGTATTTGACGTAAGTGTTTGAGGCTAATTGCAAGTATTAAAAAAATATGTACCAGATATTTATGTTAATTCTTTTTAAAATTCATAACTGCTACTCCTGTGCACCATATACAAATCTGCCATCATATACAACTGGTATATGCTGTGATGGCAAAGCCTGAAGTCAACTCTAAGCATTAGTTGCAGATTTTTTTCTCTTCAATGACCTGATATTTATAATTCCTGTGCCTGTGATTTATCCGTAAATCTGTATTCTGAGATACATTTTAGTGTAATTGGAAGCTAAACACTTTTAGTTAATGGGAAAATCAACTGCAAAACACACACTCCTTTCAATCAAAATATACATCAATATACATTATTTTCACATACTCCACGCACAACTCCCCTATCCTTACAGTGCAATAGACCACCACATCTGGGCTTGGCATGATAGTGATGAGTATAAAATCAATTCAATTCAATTTTGGTCAATTCCTTGTTATGCTGTTCAGACTTAACACATGCCTATCATCTGATTTAAATCACTGGCCAATATCATTTTCTCGGCAAGTTATGCTCGTCAGCCTCAAAGTGATACATTGGTGCAAGTGCCGAGAGCTCATAGTCATCCAAAATAAATCCAAGTCTGTTTTCTCCATTGATAGATCACTCTCATCAACCTCATGATTATCAATCATGTAGTCTCACAAGTGAGAGAGATTAGCAACAACCACCACCTTGTCCACCAGCTGCTCCTTGATTTCCAGTTAGACCAGCTCCACTTGGAGAATGTTGAGGTCCAATCTTTATGCCATTAGCCTGAAAATACACATTACAAAGAATATTCAAGGAAAATGTATAATCACACTACTTAAAAATAGATTGACTAAAAGAAAGTGTTCAATGTAATGAAATGCCTCTTTCTGATAAGGCCTTTGTGACTCCCTGAAGCTAGCTCAAAACATAGCTCCCCCATTACTTAATCATATCAGCCTCTGGAGTTCTGTATGGCCTACTGGGGAAAAAAAAAAAGACAGAACCCGACTTTCTTCACTGAAGCACATGGAATAGGGGATCGATACGATCACTCACCGAGAAACCATCCAGAAGGTACTATAAATAAAGCAATACATACAACTGCAAGGTTTACAGAAAGCAAACCACTGAAACGGCCAAACAACTATGCAAACGATTCACTCAGAAGCTAATTATGCCTAGCCACTATAACAGGCAATAGCACCTCCAGGGAGCTCCCAAGTTCCATGTCATTATACCTTCAGTCCAGAACCAAAAGAGCATGAACCGATGCACCTGGGAGGGAAAGGGGGAATAAGAGAGCCATTGAGGTCCTTTCAAAAAGAGGCATTTCATTACATTCCATGCTAGCTTTCTGAACCTACAGAGCTTGAATACCAGCCCATGATGTAATTGAAAAGGTGCAAATTATATAGTACTGTACTGTACATATTTTAAGAAAATCACTTACTCTACATATTTTACATGAAATTAAAAATATAAAATTTGCCTGTTGTTTAACTCAACCTAAAATGTTCCCTAACCTAAAATTATGCAAGTACTGTACTTAGGAAACTGGTTTGAATTCCAGATTACAGGTCCTTGGCAATTAGATCTTGCCTAGTATCTATCTAGGCCTGTCGCCATTTTTCATTGATTTCCTTAAGGCTCAACTCTTTACTGATCCAGAATTACTTAAATTAAAAAAATCTGGGTTTTCACTGATGGAAACAATCATTGTCCATAAGTGAATCCTATTTTGTACTTTCTGGTGTAGTTTCATTTTCTTTGTCGTCTTTTGCGATATTGCCACTAATACCAGATAATTTTAACTTCAATTACATCATAACCTGCATTGTTGGTACCCTAATCTTGATTATTGCCACTCCTAGGGAGTACCCAGGATGCAGGTTCAAAACCTCCTCATGGCTCCAACTGATTTTCTCATTTATCCATCACATTATTGTGATTTCTTTGTGCATAGATATCCTATTAAAGGAAACTATTTTAGTAAGGAAAAATTCTTCAGATACATGGCTAGCTCACACGGTTAGGATGGTTCTAGTTATTTCAGTGGGGGAATAGAAAAACTTTTACAGTACTAATCGATAATTGTTTTAATATTTTATGTAATTTGTAAAATTTATTATTATTAATGAAGTTTTAATGTACTATTGTATTTGCAAATACAGTAGTATTTGTAAAGAGGCCACCATGCATCTGTAATAAACTAGACTGATATGGTCTGCATCTTGGACTTCATCCGACTCAAGTGACTATCAAACTGTTGTAATTTTCTATAAAGTTAATCAAAGATTTGATGTAGTGAATGCCAAATTAGTGAGTGGTCATTATAGGCAACCTTAACCCTTAGGCTGCGATTATCATCTATTGACGATCTGTGGTTATCATCTATTGACGATAACCACAGAGGACTGTGGTTATCATCAGAAGATAAATTATACAATTGTCTGGGATTTACATGTATGATGCAAATGTGGATGTAATAGGTCTAATTGGATGTAAATAAAGAAAAAGAAGTGATAAAACAATAAGTGAAACATCTGAGGATAAAATGAGAAGTGTCAGCAAAATTGAGTACCAGGCGTTGACAAGTGCCAGATGCAGCCTTGCAGAGTGCCTCCACCCAGTAAAACTATAAATACTATATTCACTTATATTGTTGTGTTTTTCTTACATTTTGTATACAAATGAATAATTTTATAATATATATTTTTTTTTTTTGGGGGGGGGGGATTTTTTAAATTTTGTGCATAGGTGGGAATGACCATTTTCCATAGCTGCTGTCCAAGGGTTAAATAGTAAATATTAGCCCTTAGATAATGACTATGGAGGAATGGTCATACCCGCCTACACACACAAAAAAAAAAAAAATAGTTGTTCTCTATAGAATTATTAATTTGTATGCAGAATATAAGAAAAACATGAAACTATGTGAATATTTATAGTTTCACTGGGTGGAAGCACTCTAAGTCTGCACCTGGCACTTGTCAATGCCTGGTACTAGATTTTTCTGATGATTCCCATTTTATCCTCAGATTTTTCACTCATTGTTTTATCACTTGTTTCTCTTTATTTACATCCACAGAAAGAGCTTATATATCCATATTTGAATTGTACATGTAAAACCCAGATAATAATTGTTGAAATCATCATATGATGATGACCTCATTCCCCTAGTAACATTCATGATGATTACCCATTTTTACCATGAAATAGTAACAGGATTTTTTCATAGTCAAAGTACATTCCATTACATCTACATAGACCTATTATATCCATATTTGCATCATACATGTAAAACCCAGTTAATAATTTTTTATTATCCATATGATAACTTCATTACCCTGTGAATCAACAGTTGATGATAACTGCTAAAGGCTAAACTATTTTTTTTTTTTTTTAACTATTGCACTTGCAAATTAGAAAATACGATATGTACATTTGATTTTTTTCTGTGTTATAGCCTTCTTTTAACTACATGCCATGTGCTTGTCCATACTGTGCTAATGTGTTACACGAGTAACCTTTCATTACTCGTGTAATTTTTTAGTTCACTGTCAAAAACGTTCTGGAGGCAAAGATCGAGAAAAATTTTCAGGAGTTCAAATTTTGATTAGATATCATGCAGTTTACAAATGCTGTACCAGCATAGGCTAAAGCTGGACTTAAACATTTATGTAGCAAAAAAATACAGTACTGTACCTTGATTTGATGAAATGAGTCTAGTCCCAATTAATCTATATTTGTCCAGTAAATTGTATCATACTCATTCTTACAGAACATTTCAATTTATATAATACTTGCCTCATTATGAACATCGAAGACTCCTTCTTGTATCTTTTCATAAATTTCCCGAGCTGTGTTAATGAAAGCCTCTTCAACATTTGCTGCTGTTTTAGCAGAAGTTTCCATAAACACTAAACCATGTTCTCGAGCAAAAGCTTCACCTTCCTCTCGTTTTACTTCTCGCCGAGAGTCCAAATCACTGTAAAAGTCATTTGTATCAAAATCATAAAGCAATTTCTGTAACAATCTTAAAACCTTATGTAATACCACAAGAAGCATACTAAAGCAAGGTAATACTAACCTATACTCCATCCAAATTAATCTCTACAAAAACTGTAGATACAGAAGGGCAAAAATAGTTCAAATTTGTGTACCTCCATAAATTAAAGCGGAAGGCTTCCACTCCAACATCACAATCTTTGCGATAATCTATATTGATGACAGTCCTGTGCGCTTATTAACAAAACACACACTGGCAGTAGGGTAACTAAATAGTGACCATTTAGTAAAGAGTAAATGAGAGCAACTAAATCCTCTATTATTTGCCTGCTGTAAATCACCACAATAGCAGAAAAACAAAGCTGTCATAATTTTGTTAAAGTGTTTAAGCTAGCTTGGCATATTTTGAGCATCACTCAAAAGGAACCAAAATATGCCATTTAGTGATGAACATTCATTTGTGTGACATTTTAGTGTATATAGATTTTACTCCCATACAACAAAAATGTAATAGCTTTAGTTTGCTTTTCAATTGTACTTTTCCTTAAGCTTTCATTTTGAGCAGTCTCCGTGTTGAAGTGGTAACACACTCGCCTGACGTTTCATGAATGCTTTGGCCTGGGTTCGTATCCTGACCGGGAAGGATTTACTTGGCACCAATCCTTAACGTGTAGCCTCTGTTTACCCAACAGTGAATGGGTACCTGGTTGTTAAACTATTTGGCTGGTCGTATTCCGGAAAAAATTAGGATTAAGGACTTGCCCAAAATGCTATGCGTGCTAGTGGCTATACAAGAATGTAAGAACTCTTGCTTATATACAGTACTGTATAAATAAAAAAAGCTATCACAAAGGACTGACCTTCTCCCTGAGCATAAGCACCATTCAGGTTTGCAAAGGTTACATAAAACTTGACCCATGCATGGAAGGGAAGTTGTATCTGCCGATACATACTAAGGTGTGCAAGGACACCATAAGACTGTCACTTTGCTGCAAGGCTTCGACCATTTAGCAGGTCATGCATGCAGTCAGCAAGTACCATGAGTAGAGTACCCCAGAAATGTCATCACTGCTTGATATTATAATGGAAGGGGACACCCCTTCCAAACACTTAACACCTCTCTTCCTCACCGTCTTCCATACGCCAACAAGAGTCCTCCATAAAGGTAAATTACCTATGAGTGGTTTTCTGTATAAAACGTATTTTTTAGTTAATATTTTTGAGGGTGTGGAAGCGCCAACTTACGGACCCCATAGCAGCCAAAGTAAGCACAATTTCTTTTTTTTTTTACATACCCATACTGAGGGAAGGGTTTTTGACACTTTAAAAAAGCAAAAGAATTTTTTCCAGATAATTTATTTCCTGCGCTCTGGTGGGGGTGTCATATTTGGAGGGAACGCAGTTAAGGGGTTAATTGTTGACATTGCTGCAGGAGGCCTGGTCGACGACCGGGCCGCGGGGTCACTGAAGCCCGGAATCACCTCAAGGTAACCTCAAGGTAGGACATAACTTGTGTGGATTTGTCATTTTTCTGTATCCAATTTTATTTAAGTCTTATTTTGCTCATGGCATCCCAAAATTTGAAAAACATATATATTTTCAGAGCAAGTTCATTCTTATCTGAAGAATGTCAAATCTGGCAGTAATAGTGGTAATGATGATACAGCATTAGGGTTATCAGAAATAACTGGTCAAATTGTTATCTCACCTTTTGTTACCAATGAGCATAATGACCATGTTGGAGTTTGAGTGTTGACGGGCATCCTCCAGCCACTGCGTGAGGTGGTTAAAGGTTTCTCGCCTAGTGATGTCATAAACTAAGAGTGCCCCAGCCGCACCTCGGTAATAGGATCGGGTGATAGATCGGAATGCTTCCTGGCCAGCCTGTAATTAAAGTACTACATATTTCACAAATTTCTTCTAAAGGCTTGCCAAACTATTAAAATATTGTAATAAGGTTTTAACTTATGAAAAGCTTTCCGAGCTTGGTTGCTCCTTTAAGTATGATCTGCTGTGGGTCTATTGACCAATATTGGAAATATCACTGGGCAATATTTATACACTGGCACCACAGGTTACATTTCAAATAACCCATGAAAATAATAAAAAAAGCATTACATAGCATTCATTGGCATATTGAGAGACCACCAATAGGGTTGTCATCGTAACTACCAACTGAATCACCTGACCTTCAGATGTAGAATTTGGTGAAGTTTTAAATTATCATCAGCTCCGTTTATATATCCTATGGAATTGATTCAAAATTTCACACTAACAAAATTATTTACTAAAATATTTGACAACATCCTAAAGCCAAAGTGATAACTTGAACCTGGGGAAAACTGAATATACCGTACATTATTTAGTGACTATTCAGCACGATAGCCAGATTTTTTACTAAGCAGAATAAGAGATATTTATGATTAACCTCATGAAAGTCCTCTAAACTAAACATTACTTTCCTGCATTATAAAAGTTGTAAAGACAAGTTAAAAAGTTACTATAATTGGTAAAATCTGAGGACAATTACTTGCAGGAAATTTTTTTGCAAATTAGCAATTTGTTAGAAAGCACAAGTGGCAACTCACCATTGTAAAACCTACATTTTGAGCAATTTAAGCAAATATAGTATATTGGTATATATTTCTTTTTGTTATCTTCTGCAATTCTTCATGAATTTTTTATCATGCTGGAAAAATTTACTCAAGGTGGGGCAACATACACTTTTAAAATTTTAGCCACACATGGTTATAAAAAACTAGGATTTACTATCAATACCAATTTTAAGTTGAGAGAAAGGTGTGTTAAGATGAAGTCTAGAGAAATGCACTTCATGAAAATACATTTTGATGGTACATATGCAAACAAGAAGTATGGATACGATGGATACAATACTATGAAACAACGTAAGGAAATGCAGTGTTCATGACAAAGATCCTGGATTGGATTTCTGTGGCAGAACAGAGATGTTTGGGCATGTTTTATTTCACTTGACGTGGGTTGTATTCTGAGAAAAATCAGTAGTTAGCCTTGGAGGACCTTAATAGGTCTAACAGTCTTCCTATCCACAACAATTGTAAACCAAAAATAAAGGTAGAAGAAATGCAGGTAGATTGCATATATGATTTCTAGTTAGTAACAAATATTAATATCCTAAAGTGTCACAGGCTTGTATTAGAACACTGATAAATGTTTTGGGGAAGTGATAGGCAAGAAAATTAGATAAATCAATTTAGTCAGCATTCAAACCAAATGGATGTTTTTATTTATATACAGTACTTCCAGGCTGAAACCAGGAAATGTTATTTTCAATGTCTCAAACCCTTTCCTAATACTGTAATATTTTCCTATCGTTCAAGCAATAACTTAATCTTTAAACACACAAGTATTTCAATATGCTTAAATATAGTAAATTCTACTATATATACTCACTGTGTCCCATATCTGAAGCTTGATCTGTTTATTGTCAATCGTGATCATGCGTGCACCAAACTCGACTCCAATTGTTAGATCATGGACAGGTTGAAATCTTTTGTCTGTAAACTGCAGCAAAAGGCATGACTTTCCCACACCTGTTAATAATAATAATGGAAGAGCTTGGATTAAATTATATATATATATTATATACTGTATACATAAATAGTAAAAAAAAATGTTACCAGCTGCGTCTGGGTATAAGTGACAGGATGAACAACCCAGCAGGTTTTCTTCCTATTGGGGAGTGTTGTACATGCTGCTATGGCGGTATGTCCACTTAGGTAATTAGATTCATTATATTCATTATAAATACAGTCTCCGTGGTGTAGTGGTAAGACACTTGTTTGGCGTTCCGCGAGCGCTTTGTCATGGGTTCGTATCCTGGCCGTGGAGGATTTACTGGGCGCAAATCCTTAACTGTAGCCTCTGTTTAACGCAACAGTAAAATGTGTACTTGGTTGTAACAACGTTTCTTCGCGGCGGGGATCGTATTCAAGGGACCTGCCCGAAACGCCATGCATACTAGTGGCTGTACAAGAATGTAACAACTCTTGTATATACTGTACTGTATCTCTCTATCTCTATCTCTCATATCCATATTTGCATCATACATGTAAAATCCAGACAATCTTCATATGATAACTGTATTACCCTGTGAAACAACAATCGATGATAACCATTTTCGAAGGGTTAAAATATTGCACTGGACTCGCTATGCTTAAGGGGGGAATATAAATTCTTCTTCTCATAATTCTGCCTTACTTTACCTCGCAAGGCAAGGTATGCGGAATCATAAGAAATAACTGGACTCATTATCACGTTAGTGTGATTTCTGTGTGTAATGATGTAAAGGCGAAGAGGGAGAACGGCCTATTGACATAGCTCGAGTGCAGGAGGGAGTTTGTGTAAAACCCTGGTTTGTGCCTCGGAGAGGCTGCGGGATCCAGTAAGTTCAGTAGAACTTCGGTTTCAACTCTTTTACCCTGTCGTAGCTCAGTCGATTAAGGCAGTGTCTGGGATGCTCCCGGACGCAGGTTCAAATCCTCGTCACGGCCCTTGTGGATTTGTTCACTCCAAGAGGTATTGTTACACCTTATCTGGACACTCCTGAGTTGCCAAAGACTATATCATCTGCATCACTCCACAATAAAAAGTCCAAATTAAAGGCTACAGCTCTTCTGATATACTCCAATAACATATTTGAACAAAGTTTTTAATTTAAAATTATTATGACAAATATTCTAATAATTTTTACATGACTGTGCATGGTTCTGATGAAAATAGATTTTTCCCTCTGCAAATTTATAGGCGATATTAAATATATATTGATCACTTTTGTTTCCAAGCTGATGTATGTTCCTTAAACTACTGTATAGGATAACACAGAAGTAGACATCTAGAAAGGTAAATTATGAGTAATAAATTGTGTGTCTGTACACTAGCATCAGATGTTCCAGACACTAAAACGTGTACAATACAGTACTGTACATATCTTTAAATCAATTAAATAAGGTATAAATTCAAGCCAAAGACCATGTTACCTTGAATAGTATCAAACCTTTGCAAAGAGTGGTTTCCAAGAAATTATCCACCAAACATTAGGGTACCTGGTATCCAATCCAACACCCCTGATATACCAGAGTTCTAACACCTACATTATCAAATATCCCACAATCTGCAATGCTAGCCTAGGAGTATTGCCTAATAGTATTTGAAGATAATACTATATTCTAGATGATTATTCTGGCAAAATTATCTTACAAATGTGTGATGCGTCTCTTCCTTTGGATACTAGCGCTAGGGTGCTTGGATACTACCTGCACAATTTTTCTAAACACTTACCTATGGAAATATTAACTAAAAAGTATTATACTAGATATAGTGTCCACTCCAGTGTAATATGAAATGTTGCCTTTCAAGTGATAGTTATTCATTAGAAAATGTACACTATTTTATAGTCCACTGTCAACACCTGTAACTATATTATGTCCAGCAACTAACGACTTTACCGGAAGCTAAAATGGGCAGAATCTATGCGACAGTGTGGGACCATTGCAGTGTACATGTAACTTCCTAATAAAAAAAAAATACTAAAGTTTTAAAAAGCTTATACTATGCTATCTACTAGATTAATTAAACATAAATGTACAAAACATGGTTCAATCAAACTGAGAAACAGGGCAGTTTATATATTTCCCAACAAAATTTACTGTTACTTAATGTTCTTGTGGATTTAGCCATGGGACTCGTTCCCTTTAATAATAATAGTTTTATATATATCCTAATTAAATACATTATCATGAATAATGTGGTATACACCATTTTACAAAAGACAAAGTACTGTACAGAAGGCTGTTACTGCAACCCTTTAGCTGTAGTATGTTATATGTTTTCTGCCACGCCTATGAATGTTTGCGAGATAAAATCGCATATCTTTTGCCGAGTACGGATGAGGAAATATTATTAAAACAGCCTTTACCCAAGCAATCGATTTTCGCCATATTGGAGGAACGCGCTATCAGAGTAGTTTCTCCTTACTTGTTGCCGCGTTGGCTTATACAGGCTTTACAGTGACGCTCTGTTGTATCTCACGGTACTAACCAGTGTCTCCAATAATGATATACTTGAATAAATAAGCGTAGGACATCTTGATAAAGAGGCAGAAACGTGTGACGTAGATGAAAACACGGAACAGCTGACAACGACAGCTCGACTGACACACACCGTCGACTTCATCCACCATACTCTCATGAAAACAAAGTGCGTACTTGAAATTACTGGGTTATATTACCTTGTTTGCTGATCTTGCTTACTTGATTTGACGTTATAAATAAATCTAATGTTTGTGATAAGCTGTATACACTTTACACATATGCATGCTTAAAATGTATATCACGAAACAAAATATTCCCGTTTTCTACGATACACATTGAAGTCGAGACTATACATCATAGACGTCTCCTAAGCCAGGAATTGATTCATGCTGTTGTGAGTCACATGTTGGGCGTTACACTACAAATTTGTTTTACATTTACAAATTGCCAAATTGAATAATGTTACTAACGTATTAGATAAAACAACATTATCAATGATTTTACAAAAGTATAATAAGTTTGTCGCCTCATTACTGTAATTTTCTGTGTAAATTCATAGTATTTGGCACTATAGTTTTGCGATCGATATTCATGCATATTTAGGTGCAATTTTAAATTATACAAATGAGTAGTCTTTTTTTTTAAACGAAGGTTGAAAGCCTTATGGCTAGCAAAACTAAACCAGACACATTATTAAGGGATGAGTTTTCGATATATTTAATTAATAATACTGAACCAATTTGGGAGATATTAATCCAGACCACTACTGTAAAATGTCCAGTGTACTCGTACAAGTGGCAACAGTTTCAACCTCAACAAGCCACGATCTAAGCTACACAAATGAAGACGCTTTTTCATGCAGTTATAAATTGTAATCCATGTAATCGCCTGTAGGTGATGCTTTTACATTTGCGATTTAAACAGAGAACCTCAGAGAAGGACTGTTTGAGAAATGCTCGAACGTCATCAGTTGTGAGTAGTATGTAATACACACACAGAGATCACACTAACGTGATGCATCAAATGAACAAATCATTTGATTAAGGCAATCGATTAAGGCAGTGTCTGGGATGCTCCCGGACGCAGGTTCGAATCCTCGTCACGGCCATTGTGGATTTGTTCGTATGTAATACATTTTCATTCATAAATAAGGGGATTTGGCGGCTGGATTAACGAGCATTTGGCCTTTGTTAGTGAGGACGGGTTGATGAACAATGAAGTCGAGAACTCTTGAGTTGTTAAATTCCGGTCTCATCCTAGAAATTTGATAAGATTTCATGGTGTTACGGACTAGTCTAAAAGAACTTGGAAGTGAGTACATTGAAATCGCTTCGAGTGAAAGGGTGACTTTTGTATTCCTGACCACGTATTATAGAGGACGAAACGTATCTAAAAAGTAATCCTATACGATAAAAAAATACCCATATGTTCTCTAATACGGTGATTGCGGCAGTTACAGCCCCGCTCCTGTGCCGTTGCAACCCGTTCTCGCAAATTTAATAAGTCAATATTGACTTATTAGTTGCGTGCATAGGTGACATACTAAACATAATAGTTTCCCTTGAAAAGCTTCATAGAAAACACTGACCTTACCTAACCTACTTAGTATGTTAAAATAAGCATCTTATAGCTTCGTAATTACAATTGTTACTTAACCTATTATAGGTATAGGTGAGGTAATAATTGTAATTACGAAGCAATAAGATGCTTATCTTAACATACTAAGTAGGTTAGGTAAGGTCGGTGTTTTCTATGAAGCTTTTCAAGGGAAACTATTATAAGTATGTCACCTATGCACATATTTAATAAGTCAATATTGACTTATTAAATTTGCGAGAACGGGTTGTGGCGGTAAGTCCACTGCGGGCTCACCATAGCTCGTGCTACTTTGGAACTTTTGTTCTAAGTAGCTGAATCTAAAACAACAACAACAACAACGGTGATTACCTGGTTGATACCTGGTAGATGGGGTTATGGGAGTTCTTCTACTCCCCAAGCCCGGCCCGAGGCCAGGCTTCACTTGTGAGAGTTGCGGCATCGTGTTGACTTGAATGATTCTCTCTAGTATGGTTGGAAGCTTTAGTTCTTCCCTCATGTTGATGATTCTTGTGCATCTTGGGGCACCAAGAATTATCCTCATGGCTTGAACAAATCCACAAGGGCCGTGACGAGGATTCGAACCTGCGTCCGAGAACATCCCAGCATCCAAGTAAATTCAATTGAATTTCTGGTTACAATTCTTTTACCATGTTGTAGCTCAGTCGATTAAGGCAGCGTCTGGGATGCTCTCGGACGCAGGTTCGAATCCTCGTCACGGCCCTTGTGGATTTGTTTAGCCATTACTATGTAACTATTGAGTTTTAAAGTACCGTTTTCTGTAACAAATTGTGACAGATTTTTTCAGTAGATTTTAATGGTCGAACTCAAGATTTGTAACTTCCTGTATTATCTGTCCTCTAACTTCCTGGTATAGTTATCCTGGTTGAAATGACATCATATACGATAGAAAGTTGCCAGCATAGAGCTTAAGCTCCTTCTTTTAATACCTGTCGTGGAACCTGTCCTCTTAAAAATAACATCGTTTTTGGCCGTTTGCCCATATGGCCGAATTTGGACGTAATTTGAAAATGAAAAAAAAATGAAAATAAATTTGGGATTTTTTTTTCAACAGTAGTAAGTTAAGGGTTCTCTGATAGGTTAGGTGGGAAATTCTCATAAAGTTTCAAAACGTTATGAGTAACGTGAATTTTTTTTTTTTTTTTTTTTTTTTTTATTATTATTTTCTACCACAGACGTGGCCACACATTTACAATGCTAACCAGCATATATACATTTTCTTCTGTCCTCCATGGACAGGGTTAGAGAAGTGTTAAACATACAGTTCAAGGGTTTATTGAACACTCAACCACAGAAGGTGATTCGGTGCTTTTAAAATGCTAAGCTAACCTACATACGTAAATACAAAGATACACAGATTTACGTACGCCCTACATAAAGTATTAGATGTGTCTTTTACATAGGGTCATTAATGTACATTCACAAAGGTGAAATGTAATTCTGATCAGCTTCCATATTTGCTTTATACCCATACATATACATACACACACACACATACACATACATATATACACACATACATGCATTCACATACATTTGTCTCATTTACCCTGACAGGGTGAGGTAGCTGATAAAGAAACTAGTGTGCAATTAAGCACTTAATCACTGAAGGTGATGAAGGTGCTTTTACAAGCGTAACGTGAATTGAAAGTCATCTGTTCTAACCTTACAGAGTCAGCCGGACGACTCAAACAGAAAACGGAACAGTACGTCACTTTTGTGAGTCGATTTCATTTCAAATTACGTCCAAATTTGGCCATAGCCGCGCATACGAGCCAAAAAGTGACGTTATTTTTAAGAGGACGGGTTGGTCTAATAGCCTCGGTCGTATCCGGTTCGAACAGATGTGTGTACGGTATAGGCACCTCGACCGTGGAAGTAGTTGAAGCAACAAATGCAAGGTTGTTGGTGTTTCTTAGCATGTATAATTAGAGGTGTGACTTATGATGTATAAACAAGCCGATGACATACCTGGTAACCCGCACTAATTACCCTTCTCTCGGTGGTGTGTGGAGGGGAAGGGAGAAGAGAAACCTTCTCTTGCCTTATTCGACAACATCCTAACATTTTGTTTACGACAGTTTTACATATATTATCACTTTACATCTCTCCAGATTGATAGTTGATTGTATTTGTCGACTTTTTATATGGAGACGAATATTTGTCTTTGAGTATTTGTTTTCTGCAGACGTCTTTGCTCCGGGTGGAGTAAGGACAGGAATAAAAGTATGATGAATCTTCGCTTAGTGCGTGATCTGAAACCTGAAACTGTCTTTTAAGCTGGCCACATATTATTATTTATATTTGTCTAAGAGGGCACAGAACAAAAGTTGTATTCGACAGACAAGTTATGGAACATTTCGCGTGGTAAAAAGCTTATTGTGAGGCCTTATCAAAGTTGAATAAAGACGTTTAGCTTCTTTATTGGTACATGACTGTCAGGAGGTTTGCAATACCATCAAGATCAATGTCACTCTTCATCATGCTTCAACACCTGTCGGCTGCTATTTTAATTTTTCCGCAAATATATATATATATATATATATATATATATATATATATATATATATATATATATATATATTATATGCGAACAAGCCTGAATGGTCCCCAGGACAATATGCAACTGAAAACTCACACCCCAGAAGTGACTCGAACCCATACTCCCAGAAGCAACGCAACTGGTATGTACAAGACGCCTTAATCCACTTGACCATCACGACCGGACATAATGAGGTGATAGCCGAGGCTATTTGAACCACCCCACCGCCGGCACTCGGATAGTTATCTTGGGCATAGCATTTTACCAAATCACCTCATTCTTTGGGGCACACGTGGGGAACACAAATGCGAACAAGCCTGAATGGTCCCCAGGACAATATGCAACTGAAAACTCACACCCCAGAAGTGACTCGAACCCATACTCCCAGAAGCAACGCAACTGGTATGTACAAGACGCCTTAATCCACTTGACCATCACGACCGGACATAATGAGGTGATAGCCGAGGCTATTTGAACCACCCCACCGCCGGCACTCGGATAGTTATCTTGGGCATAGCATTTTACCAAATCACCTCATTCTTTGGGGCACACGTGAGGAACACAAATGCGAACAAGCCTGAATGGTCCCCAGGACAATATGCAACTGAAAACTCACACCCCAGAAGTGACTCGAACCCATACTCCCAGAAGCAACGCAACTGGTATGTACAAGACGCCTTAATCCACTTGACCATCACGACCGGACATAATGAGGTGATAGCCGAGGCTATTTGAACCACCCCACCGCCGGCACTCGGATAGTTATCTTGGGCATAGCATTTTACCAAATCACCTCATTCTTTGGGGCACACGTGAGGAACACAAATGCGAACAAGCCTGAATGGTCCCCAGGACAATATGCAACTGAAAACTCACACCCCAGAAGTGACTCGAACCCATACTCCCAGAAGCAACGCAACTGGTATGTACAAGACGCCTTAATCCACTTGACCATCACGACCGGACATAATGAGGTGATAGCCGAGGCTAT